GTGACAAACATTTCAAATTATTTAATATCAAAAGAAATAGGTAATAAAGTATAATAGGTAATAAATATACATATAAGCACAACCAAAAAGACCTTATATAATAGTTTGTCATTTTGGAACAGGGTGAAATTCCATATTGATAATTACTTTATAATTTTATATAGAACATTTGATGACAACACACCAGTATTTCAGCATCAATGATGACTAAGAATTACTTACTCAATTAATGTTGACATGTAGATACATTTGTTGATCCATAGTGCAGTTTATGTTAGGGAAATGGCATAAACTCCACTGAATAACATGTAATTCCTTACTATTTCTTGTGGTGCAGGGGTGGCAAAAGTTAGGGGTGGAGCAGCTACGCCTCAGTACCACCGACCTGACCCCACCTTCTGTGCAGGACTTGACCAAAGGTGTGAATTTTATTCTGGATGCACCAGAGGGAAGTGTGTATGTGCACTGCAAGGCTGGGAGGTCACGGAGTGCAACTTTGGTGGCTTGTTATCTCATGAAGGTAAAATCTTCACTCGGAAGAATAATACTTCACGTACAGGGGTTTCCCCAGGGTTTGGAGTACAGGGAATCCAACTACAAATATACTGCGATTCCCCAAAAATTTCATAGTGATCTTCAAAAATATGGGCTCTCTTTTGAGCCCTGTGACCACTAAAATGATGGCTGGATGGCTTTCTAGAAAACGTCTTGTTCACATATCAAGTAACAAATGATTCAGAATCAAAATGATATCTGATTTTTGAGGTTTTTTTTTTTTTTTTTTTGTTTTATGATTTCAAAGTCGGTTGTAATTGGACAAAACATGTTTTAATTTAATATAATATTTGATATTTATGTTAATTTTACCTTGTTGTATAACTTAATTCTTTATTTATTCTGTCATGTATTTATTTTTCTTTTTTATGATGATTTATTCATATTTAACTTCAGGTCCACAACTGGAGTCCCGAAGAAGCTGTAAGTTTCATCAAAGACAAAAGGCCTCATGTCATGATCCTTCCGTCTCACTATGAAGTACTCAGGACTTTTCAGCAAACTCTCTCAGACTAAATTCAAGTGGCACTTGTAGAATTTCAAGTTTATTGTAGTTTATTGTATAATAATAATAATAATAATAATAATAATATATATCGCAACCCGAAGGTTGAAGTTATACAAATATGTAATTTATTTATTTATTTAAATGAAATTTTTATTCAAGTCAGAGAAGCCTGGTCTTTTTTTTTTCACTGGTGCACTCTGTAGACGCTCTCACCTCCCAGGGGAGGATACAGCTTGGCTGCCATATTAGGTGCTCAGAACTAACATATCATTTCTGCACTGCCTGACCAGGCCCCTGCTTCAACCCCTTAGTGCTGAGTGCCAAGTGGGGAGACGGCAGGTACCGTTTAAGTCCCCGGACAGGTTTTGAACCCTCGTCCTCCCACTCTGGAGGCAGACACTCTAACCACAAGGCCATCTGGTCGGTTATTATTGAGCCCTGTAGCCAACAATTTCAGGGGTGTGTGTGGTTTTTTATGAAAAAGTGAACCTTGTGATCCATTGTTGAGCCAACATGAAAAATGCCATAGCACCCTTATAAATTTTTTTTATTTATTTTGAATGGAAATTTTCTTACCATTAGATCACGCCCCCCCCCCGCCTATGGGTCGTTTTATCTTACACACCAGAGACATCTGGTGACAGTGTGCATAATAATTATTTAATTCTGATAATTGTACTAGTGCAGTAATCAAGTAATACCAAGTAACACTGAATGTGAAAACCTTTAAGAGCAGTGAAATCAAATGATTACCAATTATATTGGAAATGTTTATGTGTAATGCTGCAAGAGTGCTAATTTCCATGGATTAGCTCAGAAACTTCACAAGTGCAAGCTAGGATGAGTGAGTGATTTCTCAGGGTGTCGCGAAATGAAAGTTAATTTATCAACCTACTAGGTTGTGTTAAAGTTCTCGTGTGGTTAGTAGTTTCTTGAAAAAAAAAACCCTTTCTATTGCACTCGTAGAGAGGACATTTATTATATTTATTTATTTTTATAGAGGATATTAAATGGACACTGGATCTGAAAACTGAGAGGGACAAGTTTCATATATTTCTAAATACTATTTGAAATGAGAACTAAAACCATTTATCGGCATTTTGTTTGCAATGTGTGGTAGTGAATTTGATTACTTTCAAATTATTAAAAGTATTACAGTATCTATTTTCCTTAATTTTACTTAATGATAAGAAAAATATAAGGTTTCAAAACAAACCAAACCCATGCATGTTTATAATCTGATGTCCATATCATGATATTTGCGATATTGCTACCTCCTGCAGGCTTACGAAATTAATCCAAATGTCGGAAATTTGATCTTGGCAAAATCATAGAGGTTATGGAGGCCGTGAATCCTGCCCCCCCCCCACGGATGCCCACGAAAAGGAAGATACGGGTACTGCGTGGACATCCCATGGCAAATGTTACTTAGGTTTGCGTTTAAAATTCTGCTAAATTTTGTGTTTTTGGTAGTTAATTGTGCGTACAATTTTCGAAGGACTGTGCAGTGTTTGTAAAAAAGACAAAATGCCAATTGCAATCGTTTGATTCAACGTTATTTCGACATGTAAGTTCAACCCCCTTGATGAAAACCCATATAATTAGACTAATATACTCGTACTTTGGTTACTGTACATGTATAGCCATAAACGTATGATGCTTAAAATAGTTTATCTGGAAATAGTTTTTTTATGGCCTGCGCAAATATGCAATTTTTTTTTGTATAATTTTCAAATGCATTGTTTGCAGTCACGTAGGTGATGATTAATGCATTTCTATCTCTACAATCACCAATGTATTAGAATTAAATATGTACATCGGCAGGCGTAGAATTAAGTACTCTGTCACTCGGCACTAGTTATGGGCCAGAGCGTGACGATCATTGCTAGATAAAAAAAGTTTGCGTTATAATTAAAGACATCGACAGATAGATAGTGAAAGGTTCTTCATCACTCGGACTAAGTCCGGTATAGCAGGAGAGCACATCCTGGAAAGGCAAGTCCTAGGACATGCATTGCTAGGAATAGAAGTCCTTGGGTATATAGCATGCCCGATTTGAAAATTACAGACTACAAATATGTTGACGATACTACGGTGTTTGAAATTTACAAACACAATGGTTGAAATCGTGCAGAGGACACAAAATAACAACATGAAACTGAATGCCACAAAAAACCAAGAGCTTGACCATAAATTTTACACATTGTATGCCAGACCTTCCGCCAATAGTTATAAACGATTCTCCAATCTGTGTGATAACTGATTTCATACTTCAGGGCATCCATATTATATTACCTACAATGGGGTTCTCATGTGGATCATGTACATATAAAAGTATGTGCAAGACTATTTTCTCCGTCAACTGAAGCGACCTATAAATATAAGCTCAGCCCTGCGGACTTAATCCTATTTTACCGAAGTACTGTGCCTGCCCAGTACCCTCTACCAGGGCGACTGACTTAGAACCAAAAAGACCATCTATCTATCTATCTAGAGACATATCTGTGAATATCTGTAAAAAATCTATCAGTCGCCCTGGTAGAGGGTACCTGCCCTGGCACGCTGGACTAACTGGAGAGAAATGCAAACTGCTCAAAGAGGGCACATCAGGAACATTTTTCCATTACAAGATAGAAATATCCGTCCAAGCAGAGCACCTGTATGTCATATTACTTGCAGAACCAACCATAAAGGGTCTGAGCAGTTACCGCGACCATCAAGATTGCCAGATTTTAAGTTTATAGACAATATATGGGTAGCCAGTACTCGCCGAATCAACGGTCTACTGTTCCTACAACAAATCTGAACCAAATTGGACAAGCTCTGATCGATGCCTGGAATATTGTTCCAGTTAAACAAGGAATCTGTCAGAAGGAATACCTTGTCGCTTTAGAGCCCTAGCAGCCCCATATGAGGCCAGACGCACCACTGACCATTGCTGTGACTAGACACTTATAAGAGCGTTTTTTGACATCAAAATTACACGGAAAAGTTAATTAAAAGTTATTTAATCAAGAATTAAATTTTTGTTGTCACTAATGAGTCGGAAAAGTAGGAAAAACAAAGAAAAATGATTTGGAAAAAATATTCCATATTAAACGTCGTCTGTATGTGGATAAATTTCTTTGAATCGTCATAACATTTTGTAATATAACCCCTTTACACATCTTTATCAACTGTTTTGAAGTAAAAAGTGCACCAAAAGACATGGTGTTATCATGAATGACAGTAATAATAACCGTGCTATGAAATTGTCTTATCGCTATGTTTCCCTCTGCTGACAAGTGCAGCGCGCACGCCGTGAGTAGGGCCTGACACATTCTCATGTGACTTTCATCCGAGTATGTATATAGTGTGTAAACGCAGTCTGTTGCCCGGCAGCAGGTATTTCTTAACGTCGTGCCCCTTGTTTACGAGCCTGCCATTGGTTTAAATAGGCTACGGAGGTTCTTCAACAGAAATACCTGTGTGGTTATATAAGGTACAGATTACGATACGGAGGTCACATTCCTTCCGATTGTGAGTGACGGCGCGAGTGTTGTGAAATTCATTGGCAGCCCGCGCTTGGAATCGACGTATTTAAAACATCTGCAAGATTTTTTTTCTCTGAAGTAATTAAGATTTTTTCTCTGAAGTAATTAAGACATGTCAACATTTACGGTTACCGTGGCCGCTCTGCTGTTGGCGGTCGCAGTTTCTGCAGACAGTCATGACTTCACCCACCATGCATCTCTTAAAGACGACGACTACTACATTCATTGGAAGTTTGATGACACTTCTATCACGTTCAACGTGACGGCTCGCACCACGGGCTATGTAGCCCTGGGGTTCTCTCCCTCAGGGGGAATGAAAGGGGCAGACATCATCATTGGATGGGTGAAAGATGGAAAGGTCACGATACAGGTGAGATAATTCTTCATTTATTCAGAACACAAAAGCGCGATCTCAGCAGCGCCTTTTTCGTTAATTTATTAAATTTTCACATCGGGTATTTCGGAGGCTTCGCTTCCAAAATGAAGGTTACACAATGAATGCTTACCCATGAATAGCATCATGAACTGGCAATCGTTCCCCATTAGCTCTGAGGCAGCTGAAGGGAAAACAATGCCTGGAAGTGTTTATAAATTGTGCACAATTTCAACTGACATAAGATCTGCAGGGAGAACTAGAAATATCAGGACGAAACTCTCAATTTCATTTTAAAGCAGCGTTAAGACGGCTGGAGGTCGGGCGCAGACTCACAAATTACTTTACGAGAATCGCCTGTTCGGCAATACAATACTTGAAACGTAAAGAAGGCAGTTATGAAGACATTGACGAACGTTTTGAATGTACGGATTTCGATAAATTAAGAGACTTTTGACGGATTGGGAGTTAGGAGAAGGCTAACACTCCTTAAAGGTTTCCCTAGAATTTCTTTTTCAAACGCTGCTTTGGGATGTGGGGAGTAGGCGGAATTGCTCCCTTTGCCCCTCCCTCATCCGGCAGCCTTATAGACCCTTATATATAATCACGATTTTTAGATTCAATCCGGCTTCAAAAACATAAAAAAGCGGTGTTAAACACGCACAGGTTATATCTTCATATAAATCAATGTTATATAATCCATTAGGTTTATTCTGCAAGTTTACAGAAACTACCATGGTTTACTTAAGGCCCCATTACTTTTAAATAGAACCAAGAGCCATGACGTAAGGATTAGGCCTACTTGACAGCAGTCATTGCAAACTCCATATTATTGTTCCTTACTATACACCCACAGTATATTACAAAACCTCGTTCAATTTAAACCCAGGACAATGGTTCCAAAATGTGTTTAATGAAGGGACTGGTGGAGTAACCTAGTCCCGTAGGCACCACCGCAGTCCGTTTCTACTCTATGACCTGTTACAGAATAATTGATCACACTTTGATTTGTATAATATTTTAGAAGTCCCCAATACGTTTATTTTGTATACTATCTTAGAAGCCCTTGAAATCAGAAGGTAGTCCGTTTTCCCTTTTTTCGTGCAGGTGACATTCGTCCCATTTTGTTATTATGTCCAAGGTCCCATATACTAACCCCGATACGTCTGGTTAACCCTATTTAAATGAGACCCAGGACGTGTACGTATGACCGCCATTCCTGTCACACCAACCCCTGCTGGGTCCAAGTTCTTTCCAAAACCTGACCACTACGGGAGGCTAATTAAGATATTGCAAGGGCGTTGTCCCACCTATAGGGCTGTTTTGCAATTCAAGACTTGCTTACATTTCTATTCGCGTGAGTGTGGTAGTGTTGCAATGACAATATTTACAGCAGTATTAAGTAACTAAGTACAGTGTAGATAAGGGCACTGGTCAGTGTTTACCTTGTGGACAGACCACTCGATAGACATGTGTTCAAACATGCGTGTGGGAAACACCTTTTAAAGATGCATATCGAACGAGTAGACCCGTGAAATTAAACCTGGCCAAATGCCTCCGTATTGTTTTGTTTTTTTTTTTAAGATTTAACAAGACTAATTCAAAGAAAACTACGCAAATTGCATCAGGCATTATAGCCAAGAAGAATGCAAAATGCATTTGAATAGTAGGACTCTCTTCATTTTTCACTTATTAAGAAACTGGTCGTAGGAATGTTTATGAGTTCGGCCTATTTGATTTAGGTAGTAGGCCTAGATAGATAGTCATGTTAACCTGCAGTCAAGTCTTCTTTTTACACCGAAGACCATGGGATATTCGTATTTTTATTCTGTATGAAGATTCAGTAGAGACTTCTTCCTCCCAAATATGGAGAAACGTCAACTGACCATCAGCACGAAAAATTTCGCTATTTTAATTTTAACAATTCATCTGGCTAGGCAAGAGCACATTAGACATTGTACCCGGTATTTTATGTGTGTTTTATGGCAATAAAGAACAAGATTTGATGTCTATTTTATAAAGCCTCGAAATTTTAACGGGTTTATACTGTTCAAAAAGGTTTGATAACAACCATGCCACAGCGTCAGTTGTATATTTAAATATATGGGGCTGCGCCTTATTTTCAGGATCGCCATGCAACGGGCAAACAACAACCGGTACTAGATACGAAACAGGATGTCGAGGTGCTGGGCGGCAGTGAGGACGGCACATTTACGACACTGCTGTTCAAGAGGAAACGTCAGACATGCGACGACCAGGACTTCGAAATAACAGTAAGTGGATGCCATTGAATACTCTACTTTTTTGGTTGTGTCCATTATGGTACCGCGCAGATTATGATAAAATAGATAAAGCCAGTACCCATTAGTAGGTAGGGTCTTATTGTCTTCAGTAGGCACCATACAAGATAATGTGAACCGAGGCTATCTGCGTTGCGTGCCGTCATAGCCCGCATTTTTATGTACAGACACAGATGTGTCTGTGCATATAGCCATCATCTGCGTCTGTCGTCGCCGTCGTCGCCGTGCACTTTTACCGATAACACGATAAGTGGAAAACTATTTTACCTTTTGACTTGAAACTTGCAGAACTGATGAATATTCATAATACGCAGGTCAAGTTCGAAAATCAGCATGATCAGGTCACTTTTAGGGAATTTATGCTGTTTTTTCACTTTTTTCAGCATATATGCAGCACCGATAACACGATAAGTGGAAAACCATTTTACCTTTTGACTTGAAACTTACAGAACTGATGAATATTCATAATACGCAGGTCAAGTTCGAAAATCAGCATGATCGGGTCACTTTTAGG